TTATAAATAAAGTAATAATATTGTCTACTTTTTTCATCACTAAAATCATAATTTTCGTGATAATTATAAAATTAATTACTATTAATTTTAATAACTTAATATTTGAAATAGATAATAACCAATTAAATTTTAAACACAAATTTAATTTAAGTCAAACAATATAAATTTTTGTGGTTGAATTTCTTATATAGGGACTAGTTGCGTAGAATTAAGCAAGGCTACTATAAAGATTAACCATGGAAAGAATCCTACCACTCGTGCAACAGCATTGCCGGAGGTGAGCTTGCCTGGGCCAAAAATAACACCGGGATAAACCAAGACGATCGGCACTCCTTCCGATGCAGCTTGTAAGGCAACCTTATCCGCCAAAGTCTTCGCTCTTTCATACTCCGTGGAGAAAAACTTCTCTGGATGCACCTTTAAGAAACAAAACCGAATATAAACTCATATTAATGAACAGAAGTCATACTTAAATCATGCTTCGTTCTTACTTGATTTTCATCAGCGATATATCCGTCCGTTGGCCCGAGAGCGATCAACGACGACGTGTATACAATCTTCTCGACCGTCTTCGTCTCTTTAGCTGCTTGGAGCACGTTCTTCAGCCCGTGGACAATAACCTGACGCAATCCGGGAATGGAAAGCATAATTTAGATTCAATTTGTGAACTAATTATTTTGCAGGAGTAAGCAGAAAAATGAAATTGAAATACTAGCATACAGTGAAGAACCGAGATGGATCTGGGATCCAGGCCTCGACGAGGGCCGCGGCGTGGAAGATAACGTTGCAGCCGGAGCAGGCATCCAGTAGGGAGCGGTGGTCCGTGACGTCACCGTAGGCAAACTCGAGCGCGGCGTCGTCGGAGGATGAAGGAAGGGAAGAGAGGTCGCTGGTCGGTCGCACCAAGGCGCGAATGGAGTAGCCTTGGCTCAGCAGAGCGCGGCAGAGTCTTCCGCCGAGATAACCACTGGCGCCAGTCACCAGAATCATCACCATATGCGGATCAAAAATGGATCTCCTTGGCGCGCCCGTGGTTTGCAGTGCCCTCTTTCTTGGTTAAATACAAAAAATTTGCTGCAAAGTTCTGCACCATGCACGTGACTTGGTTTCCAATAATGAGAAAAA